ATATCATATCTGCAGGACATTTTTAGGGCTTGTTTACTTTTGTCGTACATACCCAGTCTATGGAAAGAGGTTACCGTGACCTTCATCCCGAAAGCCGGGAAGCCGAGTCATACGGTACCTAAAGACTATAGACCGATTAGTCTTTCTTCCTTTCTACTAAAAACTTTAGAAAGGTTACTAGGCTCAGAAATTAGAGATACCATTGACCGTAATAAACTTAGTAAATCCCAGCATGCGTATATCAAGGGCAGATCAGTGGATACAGCTCTGCATGAGGTGGTTGGATACATCGAGAAGAATATGGAGTCCTCTGGCTACACGTTGGCAGCATTCCTCGACATCGAAGGAGCTTTCAACAATGTGAAGCTAGAGGCAATCCATTCTGCTCTCGTAGACATAGGTATCCCCTCACTCCTTACGGAATGGATTGATAAAATGCTGGAAAGCAGAATTATCAACTCATCCCTAGGAGAGAGTTCCGTGAGGAAATCTGTCAACAGAGGCACACCTCAGGGTGGAGTTCTTTCCCCCCTTTTGTGGCTTCTGGTGATAAATGAGATACTTATGAAATTCAATCATCTCAGGATAAAGGTTGTAGCCTATGCCGATGATGTAGTCTTGTTGGTTGGGGGTAAGTTTATTACGACAATATCAGAAATCCTGGAGGGTGCTCTTTCAACCCTGTCAAATTGGGCTTGCACCAAAGGTCTTGGTGTAAACCACACAAAAACCGAACTGGTACTCTTCACTAGGAAATACAAAATTCCTAGTTTCCGTCTGCCATCACTTGGTGGAGTGACATTAACCCTTTCTGATGAAGCTAAATATCTTGGCACTGTCCTAGACCGCAAGTTACTGTGGAATAGGAATGTCGAGGAACGCTCTAAGAAGGGATTGATGGCACTCTATTCATGCAAGAACTCCATAGGCAAGAGTTGGGGATTGAGACCCGGAATTATACACTGGTTGTATACGACGATTGTCTTACCAATACTTACTTATGGATGTCTTGTCTGGTGGCAGGGGGTGAATAAAAAGAAGCTGCTGACAAAACTGAGCTTAGTACAGCGATCGGCTTCAATTCTGATCACCGGAGCATTAAGAAGCACACCACAAGCAGCCTTGAATGCAATCTTGAATCTCCAACCATTGGACATTCTGATCAAATTCCAGGCTGCTAGGTGTGCCCTGAGACTCCAGGAAACAGATGCCTTGAAATCGCTGAACTATGGTCATGCCAGCATTCTAAACATAACGCCAAGTTATGACCTTTTTAGTGGGGATACTCATATCTGTGACTATATTCCCCCCATAGGGATTTTAATGACATTAAAGTCGAATTTCCTAACAGGGAATCCTGGACTAGTGGCTCCCTACCTCTGCCAGGTCTGTCAATCTTCACAGACGGGTCCAAGATGGAGGAAGGCACTGGCGCAGGCGTCTACTGCAGGGAATTAGGTATACGAAACTCATATAAACTCAACAATGATTGTATCGTTTTTCAAGCAGAGATTCTTGCAATCACGAAAGCGGCCGAGATAGTAAAAGCACTTAATACAGACATTACAGGACCGGTGACTATTTACGTAGATAGTCAGGCGGCCCTGAAAGCGGTGAAGTCGCATACTATAAACTCGAAAGCAGTTCATGATTGTAAAACCGCTCTGAATGATATACGTCAAATAGTTGGGTTATGCTGGGTTCCAGGACATAACGATATTGAAGGGAATGAGATAGCCGACGAGCTTGCTCGAGGGGGGTCACAGTCGTTCAGTCTTCTGATTGAGAGATCTGTGAAACCCCCTATTAGCTATTTCATTGGCAGAATCCGCGCGTTCCATTGCGAGGTAGTCGGCAACAGATGGCTAAGGGAACCTGCATGCAGAATCTCTAAATCTATCTGGCCAGAATTCTCTCGTAAAAGAACGTCTTCGCTGCTGGATCACAACAAGAGGGAGATCAAGATCGTTGTGAGGATCATTACTGGTCACTGCAAAGTTAGATCTCTCACTTCTAAGTGGGACTCCAGTGGAGAGGATTACTGTCGTCTATGTGAGGATGAAGAAGAAGTGGAAACAATTGAGCACATCCTTTGCAAATGTCCATCGCTGATCAGCAGAAGACATAAACAGTTTGGATGTTATGAAATTGATAATCTAGTCTTCTTCTCCAAAATAGACCCTAACCTAATTCTAGGCTTTGTCAAAAAATTGACTTGGCTAAAATAATGTCTCTTCCGCTCCCACCCATTCTGACTACCTCTCTCTCTACTCTTCCACTATCTTTTCTTCTTTCTCTTTATAGGATGATCACAATGGACATAGTTTCCGAGTGGACGGTTGTTACAACAGCCGTACATCCCTAACCTAACCTATGATGGCAAAAATACAACGAATAATGGAAAGAAATCTGCGATTGAATTAATTAATTCACAGTTTATTATTTCACTAAATAATTGTGTGCCCTTTTATTTAATATCGATATTTATCTTCCCAAATTCTTAAAGTGGCCAGTTATGATTTGCTCCTACTCCTTTATTTCTTCCTTCAAATGATGCACACGATAATTAAAAAAATATATTTTTTGTAGCATTATTTTTGTTCTTTCATAATTTTTATTTAAGTTTTTCACTGTTAAGCGGCTCATCAGGCTAATTTGGTTTTTCCATAATTTTTTATTTTTTTTCTTGAGAGACAGAGAGACAAAATGCATCAAACTCGACTTAAATATTCCTTATTACCTCCATACATTCCTTGGCAATATTTGGTTCAGCATGTATCGTTATCAATAGGATTTCCAATGTCATTTTATTTGTTGTTTTCCAGTTAAAAATTTGCTTACTATCATTTATAATATTCTAAATCGTCATAGAATAAGTATTGTGTAAATATTTTTCATAAAAATATTTATTACTTACATATGTTTTTGTAGCCAGCTCCCTTTGAATTTATTAGCGAAAAATTTGGCACAAAATTTCATCTCATTCTCCACTCACTGTAATCCAGAATACCTAATTTTTCCCCAAAGCGGATTTTTTCGCAAAGAATAAAAAACACAACGAATAATGGGAAGAAATCTGCGATTGAATTAATTAATTCACAGTTTATTATTTCACTTCATAATTGTGTGCATTTTTATTTAATTTCGATATTTTATCTCCCCAAATTCTTAAAGTAGCCAGTTATATTATGATTTGCTCCTACTCCTTTATTTCTTCCGTCAAATCATGCACACGATAATTTTGAAAAAAATATATATATTTTTGTAGCATTATTTTTGTTCTTTCAAATTTTTATTTAAGTTTTTCACTGTTAAGCGGCTCATCAGGCAAATTTGGATTTTCCATAATTTTTAAAATTTTTCTCTTGAGAGACATATCCTCACCCAAAATGTCTTTTATTTGGTTCAGCATGCATCGTTATCAATAGGATTTCCAATGGCATTTTATTTGTTGTTTTCCAGTTAAAAATTTGCTTACTATTATTTATAATATTCTAAATCGTCATAAGTATTGTGTAAATATTTTTCAAAAAAATATTTATTACTTATGTATTTGTAGTGAGCTCCCTTTTAATTTATTAGCGAAAATTTTCGCACAAAATTTCATCTCATTCTCCTATTCCCTGTAATCCAGTATACCTAATTTTTCCCCAAAGCGGATTTTTTCGCTTTCGAACTTCATTCAGAATAAGGCGAAAGCTAGAATGCGAGAAAATTCACTGCGAAATGTTGTGCCGAATAAGTCGAAGGGGAAGAGCGAGTCAAGTGGAATTGATATCCAGAATAAGGCTGTTAGAGTAGATTCGAATTCGTAAAACACTGTGGGTCCCCTTAAATAAAATTGAGCATAGTTCTGCAACCGTCAAACCAGCCACTCGTTTTCTTTTGGCCTCTCAACACTCATTTATGTTGTTAAAAAGTTTAAATAACAATAAAATGTAAGAATTTAAATTGCAATGGGGCAACAAACATTACAACTTAAATTACAATATTGCAACACACATTACAACTTAAAATACAATATGGCAACAGGAATCTTTTATTTCAATCAACATTTTGCTTCCCACTATTCATTCAGAAAAAGACGAGAATGTGAAAGCGAAAAAATTTTTGCATGCGGATAATTTCCCTAGCGAATAATGAACTTCTATCTTCTTGGTTTTAAATTAATATAAAATGAAAGAATGCACTTTTTATTAGAAAGCTGTTTTATTTATTTAAATATATATTTATATATGTATATATATATACATATACATACGCTTGTTATATAAAACACTGAACTACAATACAAATTTCATAATAAAAAACTTACAACATAACTGGTTTTTAATACATAAACAAAAGTTTATTATTCTACATGTCCGTATCTAATGTGATGATGAATATAATTATCGGTGTACCTCCTCTCCAGATGTATGTGAACTTATAACTACATTTATTTCTCAATAGTACCTTTGGGCATGGGTTTAAGGTCCCAATCATGTCTTAAATTGTATGTAAATATCAGCGTTTGAGCATTATTAATGTAATATGGATGTAATGTTTTGCAAAATAAAAAGTATATAAGCTGGCTGAATAAGGTTGGGTGCAATGGTTTCATTTTAATGTGAAACATTGAACAAAAAATCACTTGGATGTATAGTATGACAAAAATGGAGAACACATTTAATATCAAATATGAAATACCAACATTTTGTAAAAATAACTTAAGTAATATAAGTATGATTACATTAATATTTGCACACAATTTCTTGACTTTTAAAACTATAAAAATACATATTACTTAAAGACTTTATCGATATATTTTCGATTTGAAATGGAAACTTATGAATCATCTTCAATCGTCAGAAGTTAAATAGCTTTTAACTAGTCACTTTCCTTAAGTGTATATAATATAATTTTATGCTAATGGTATATTTATATAGGGGTCCAATTTGCATAACTTTGCAGTTGTCAATTAATACTTATCCTCAGCAGAACTGCAAATATTCGAGTTTTTACTTCGATTCCTCTTTCTCCTTATTTTCTTCGGAAATTTCTTTCTCGTTTGTCTAAAAAATAAATAAAACACATTAATTTGCTTTCAAGCTAGAATTAAATTAGGCAATTGTTTAGCCGTTCATCCTCGGCATAATTTCCTTCCAATATAAATATATTACCTTTTCTTTTTCTAGTTCCTTTTCGTTCTTATCAACTTCGTTCTCCTGTTCTTTTGATTTTTCCATCTCACCTTCCTTGCCCTCCTTGTTCTCTGGCCTAAATGGATATAAAAAACAACGTTTTAAAATATATTTTGAATACATTTACATTTATATTATTATGTGTTTATTATATTTATATATTATAATAAACACATCTCAAAAATGACACATGTAATATGGAGTAGTATGGTTTGTCATTTAATTAAAATAGGACTCCATGGTACAACAAGTCCGTATACAATAGATAGTGTCAATATGAATTTGACAAATTATGTTTTTAAAAATCACTCAACAGGAAAATTGGGAACGCATACAATTTGTAATTGTTCTTTATTAAATCTGCTCCCGTATTCAACTTACTCAATCTGCCTGCTGGGAAAGTTTGAGGAAGCAAATCTTTCTTCAATGAACAACTCGCTATTCCCTGCATTTCCATATGTGTTACACATATATATGGCAATGGCTCAATTATAGGAAAGATGTGGAAGCGATAGAAATATAAATTTGATAGATTTTCATTCATGTTTTTCAATTTTTATTTTGAGGATTCGAAAATATTTCATTTTCAAAATAAAAATAATTTGATGATAATTTGTTTGTTTGTTTACATTTTTCTGTCAAATGAGTTGACACTAGTAGAACTTCCAACAACAAATTTCCATGTGGTTGTTGTATCGTTTTTTGTACAACAACACTTGCTGTTACCTTCTATTATTATACCATGATAGGACTCTAAGGCTTCAAATTGGATTTTTTTTAAATAAATTAATAACATTATTACACGATTCTTGAGGGAGTTAACTTCGGCAATGACTTGTTCGATGTGAAGCTCTCATTGTGATCCATAGGTATCGACTATCAAAATAAATAACTGTGCAATGTTTGAAATCTGTAGACATTAAGCTAATTTAGTTGCACCCGTTTTAATTTTTTTTACAGATGTTTTTGTAATATTTCCATTCCGTTATTTATTTATTTGTATGTAATGTATTTCCTTATAAAAATATGTAATGGCATAATGTTTTGGAGGGCTTGTAGAAAAAATGAAAACATTTCTTATATTGTGTGTGGTCATGAGACGTCAAAAATTTAGTCTATTGATTAAGTACTGTGATATAAAGCTCTAAACATGAAGTGTCGAACCTGCTCCAGTCTACCATATACATATATTGATATTAACTAGGATACATCAAAGCGATAAATTTATTTTTTTAATGCGAAATAAAAAATCACTTTTCCCACTGGAAATATTGATATAAGATTTAATTGTAGCAGCTTATATATCACAAATTTTGATTAAATTTGTCTTATAAAATATTTGTAAAATTGGAAACCTTCTAAATTCATATAAACGGTGTTTCAAAAATAACGATAATTTTCATGACAACGAAATTGAAAAACTTTACAATCTTTTGAATATTTCGAAACATGTATATAATAGAATATTAATAGTAAGCATTGTTTGTAAAATAATAATCTTTCCAACAAGTCCGTATACAATAGATATGTCATGTATTGAAACTTCAATATATTTATTAAAAGTGTAATACTTACTCTGGCTTCTGTATGTGAGCATTCAAATCCAACTTTGTACATATTTCATCCCAATCGGGGAAACATCTATCTTTCATGCGGGAAACATGACCAACAAGATTGGGACATTTCTCAGTCATAAAATCACGCAGTGCGTACTGCACATCTTTTGACAAGTAATGAAGTTGTGATAGTACTGCGAATGCAACAACATCAAGAGTGGTAGGCTCATCTCCGAAGAAGAAAGGTTTGCAGTCCAACATTTCGCTAAGTACTTTCAGGTCATTTTTGCCAAATTCTTCAATTTCTTCCGAGCTGTGGACACCGATTCCATGAGCTTTAAGTTTTTTTGTACCCTGGAACCACTATTTATGAAAAATTTGCACAATACGATTTAAGTAAAAAAGTAAAAGGTGTTGAGTGAACTAAAACTTTGAAGCACAAACTTTTTTAAAAATGAGCGTTAGACTATAACACAATGCCACTATAGCGAATGACCAATAAGCAGCATATTTGTTGATGTATGTATGTATGTGTATGCACACTGATGTAAGTAGTGAATTGCTTTAGGAGAAAGGAGTAATCAAGCATAATTCCTTCCGAAATTTTGTGAACATGGTTAATGGATACACATTATTAAGTGGTATAAACAAACATGAATTGTATGTGAGAATCTATAAATCCAATAAAATTAAACAAAAATGCGTTACTATTACCTGAAGGACCAACTGAGAAGTCCATTCCATTTCTAATTCCATGATATAACTGTTGTCACGTCTATAGTCGCATAGATTAGTAACAACATTAATCAAATATTATAATATATACAGCTATTTATAGGGAAACAATCCACCTGTTATGTGCATTGTACAAATTGTCAGAAAAATGCAATGATTCTTTACATACATATTTTTAATATCGTATCGAACTTTTTTATTTTATTTGTAAAACACTTCGGCAGTAAAGATGCGTTACACCTGCCATTATATAGTGTGTAGACAAATAAAACAACATTTAAATGTATCAATGTATGAAGTAAGTGCTTCTCCTTATTTACCAGTTGTCGGCATCTGTTGTATTTAACCTCAAATAACTAACTGTGTAAACTACATAAAATATTCTTATATTCAACAATATTGTCAGCTAACTTTATGTAAAATTAAATTATTCTTCATTTAACTATTTGCCAAAGAGGTTATTTTAACTCCAGATATAATTTTAAGTTGCTTAACACTAGATTGTCGTACAAAACGATGAATTAGTTTACAAATTTTTTTTTGAAAATTTGTGATATTTTTGTTTTTAAAACTATAAAATGATAAATATATGTTTTTTAAACTTAGAAAATTTCTTAATAAGATATTTTTTACAATCTTTTTTATTTATAAATTTAAAAACAGATGAAAATATTTTTTTTCCAAAATTATTAAGAAAATGTAAAGTAATGTATTTAAGACAAAACAATGAAAATTGTTCATCTTCAGCACGCAGAATCTACAAGGCCCGTACCTAACTTCATGCGTATGGGTAAGATTATTTTATTTATGTACTTCAAAAGTTAAATACATGTATATGAATGAAGGTTTTCCAAATACGCATTGCTCTATCAAAATATGTTGTATATAACTTCAAATAACTAAAAAATCATATAACCAAATATGAAAAATATCTTGAATAATCTTCAAAAATATTGCAACCTATCTCTGTGTAAAAATTCATTAAGCTACGTACACTAGTGATAATTCATGTTCGTAAGATAAAAAAAAATGTTGGACATGTCCATTTTTAAAAACTAGTAACTATATTAAAATTCGAATTGGACCAATTTGAACGAATTGCTAAGCAAACCTATTTTGATTAAAATAAAAATAAATGACAAATTTTTCAAAACCAAGGAGTTTTTTTGCATCGGGGAGTAAAAAAAAAATTCGAAACAGATGAGCCTAAATACAATATAGTGAAAAAAAAATTAACTTGGGATGATGAAACGTTAAAAATGAGAACATCCTTAAAGTGCCGACACTGGTGCACTCTTACCCTATTGATTTGTTATTCTTTTAATGGCTTTCGAGTTCTGTTCACTTTTATTGTTATTTGATAATTTTTAATTAATTTCATTTATTTATGTATTAGTGTATTGGCCACATACCTTAAACTTTACTGGACAATATAAAAAAGGCACTACAAACTGCCAAAATTATTAATCCATTGGAATCTTTGCTATTATTTACTCAAAAATTCCATCTATAATATAAAACCAATGTAACGAAAAATATAGTACGTATAAGTTTTTCACTGCATTTTATAATATTAACAATTTCCAACGAGCACACAAAATGTGCATGATTTCTCCTTTCATAGCTGGTTCACTTGTTTAGAGCCTGCATTTGTCTAAACAATAAATAATACACCATTTCACATACAACTATCTCAACAAAGAAAATAAAAATATTAAATATTTAAATAATATAGCAAAATTTAAAAATTATTCCTATTTCAGTCTGCATTTGTAAATAGATTACCTTTCTTCCAAATGTTATCTTGAAGAAGAAGTTCAAGATGGAGTTTGGCAAACGCAAACCTAAGGCATGCTGCAAGTTGACTTTGTATCCCTTAAGAACGTTATCAGGGAATTTGGCTCGCCAATAAAATATAATCCATATCAAGTGATTCTCCAGCATTGCTATCATGGCATATGATACATTGCGCTGTTCCGAGGTTAATCCAGAATCTAAATCTTTGCCGTACTTTGCTGATAATTCTTTAATAATTATAGCCGAATCCGCAATTTCTTCGCCATTTAATTCGATAAAAGGCAGCTGACCCTTTTTGGAACGGAATCTCATCTTATGGTCAACATTCTAAAAAAGAAAACAAACAAAATATATATATATATTTAGGGAAACCTTAAGAGGTAATGACTTGAGTGATTTTTGGGGGCTCCATTCGGATTGTTTTGGTGGTAATAGTAATACAAGATTTTATAATTAACATTTAACAATTAAATAGGAAAAAAAAGACGGTCCTTAAATATATAAAATTTAAAGAAAGATTATATATTTAAGGACAGTCTTTCATTTGGAAATATCAAGTTTCAAATATCATATTTCAAACAAACAAATACATACAGTGGTAGTCACAGAATTAAAACATTTACTGTGGTAAACATTTTTTGATCAGCCCTCGATTCGTTTGAAGTATTTTTGAACATTTTTTAATTCAGAACACTTCGATATACTGCACTTAAGAGATTTAGTGTGAAAATAGAAAATTATTGCATGAATTTTTTCCATAAATAACGGTTTTTATGAAAATACATCGACTTTGAAGTGGCCATATAATTAAAACATTGTGTGGGATTTTTTACTTTACTGCATTTTTTGAAAATATTTTTAGAAAAGCTCTTTAATTTAGTTAAATTATGTAAACTAAGCACCGGTAAAATCATTTACAGATAAAATTTTTTTAAAAAATCTGTAAAATCTATCAAAATTGCCAAAAATTTGTACAGTACACCTTACATTCAGATAATCACCCTTATTATAGAAAATAAAGGTCCGAATGCACCAGACATTGCTAGAATTAGTAGAAAACAATAAATAATTTTCAAAATAAATAAATATTAGAAATAAAAACTCAAAATAATGGTAATTAACCTAAAAGAACGATTCAATTTCAATAGCCTTTACTGAAGAAGGCCGGAATATTTTTGCGGTATGTGAGAAAAAATCGATTGATATTGGCATTTATTATATCAAATCGAGTGTTCGAGTAGTACAGAATATATTTTATCAAAAAATATAGCTGTCAGAACAGAACGAACAGAGATCAACGCCTAGGTTGACGAGTAAAAGTTTCTGGCACACAGCAGCATGTTTGATGGTCAACTCATGACACTTTAAATCTATTGAACATGACAATATTTTTCCAAAATAATATTTTTTGAATCGAATAACTTCCGCTTAATCTATTTTAGTATCAAGGAAGTAAAAATTTTACAGTTTGACAAATATTTGAAGTCTTGTGTTGAACATCAAAAATGCTGCTGTGTGCCAGAAACTTTTACTCGTCAACCTAGGCGTTGATCTCTGTTCGTTCTGTTCTGACAGATATATTTTTTGATAAAATATATTCTGTACTACTCGAACAGTCGATTTGATATAATAAATACCAATATCAATCGATTTTTTCTCACATACTGCAAAAATATGCCGGCCTTCTTCAGTAAAGGCTATTGAAATTGAATCGTTCCTTTAGGTTAATTCCCATTTTTTGAGTTTTTATTTCAAAATTTTATTTATTTTGAGAAATATTTATTGTTTTCTACTAATTCTAGCAATTTCTGGTGCATTCGGTCCTTTATTTTCTATAATAAGGGTGATTATCTGAATGTAAGGTGTACTGTACAATTTTTTTTGGCAATTTTTATAGATTTTACAGATTCTTTCAAAAAATTTTATCTGTAAATGATTTTATCGGTGTTTAGTTTACATAATTTAACTAAATTAAAGAGCTTTTCTAAAAATATTTTCAAAAAATGCAGTAAAGTAAAAACTCCCACACAATGTTTTAATTATATGGCCACTTCAAAATCGATGTATTTTCATATAAACCGTTATTTATGGGAAAATTTCATGCAATAATTTTCTATTTTCACACTAAATCTCTTAAGAGCAGTATTTCGAAGTGTTCTGAATTAAAAAAATTTCAAAAATACTTCAAACGAATCGAGAGCTGATCAAAACATGTTTACCACAGTAAATGTTTTAATTCTGTGACCACCACTGTATATAGGTGACGATCAATAGCACACCAAAATATATCGTAGTTGTTTACGAAAATATCGAACTTTTTTTAATTATTCAATAAAATATGAAATAATTGTTTTTATTAAATTAGAAGCGGTTTTCAAGTAACTATAAGCTTTTTGATAATCCTTAATTTGTAAAAAATAATTTCGTCCTTTGTTCAAAAAAAAAAAGCATTGAAAAATAACGATGGTACATGTTGCTTTCATATTTGATCTAAAAGGGAGTGGTTCACATTGCAGCGAATAGGAATGTAATACCAACTGCAAACTGGGTGGGGTTCTTGCAGTTTCGTTTTTCGTTAAAACCAAACAAGACATTTTTCGCTTCTACCCCCTTATTAGTATATGTGTGTTAAGGCGGCACCACCAGCCATATAAAGATCATTAAATGGCAAACAATGCTATATACCTAATATTTAATTTAAATATATTTCTATACTTGACATAATTATAATAACTAGCTTTCTAAGAATGATTTGCCCTAACAACACCAAAGAGACGCACAAATAGATGCTCGCGCATTTAATGTGTACTCAAAAATATTATTTCTCTCATCCACACCCAAACATATTGAGTTATTGTGTGTATTCCATAGTTTGTTTAATTACAATACACGCAGTATGTGTCATCTTGACAATGAATGTAGTCCCAAAAAACGGATGTTAAATGTAAAAAAAGGAAATTGTGTGCAGTTAAGAGCTATAGCACTCCAACTCTCTCAAAGAAAGGCAAAGAGAATAGAGTAAAATCCCCGAAGACCAAGGGAAGACTTCAGGGGCTAGCTAACAAAAACAACCACCATCACCGCCAACACAGAGTGTTTATTTTAGTTTTTGCAATTTCCACTCAAATATCGTTCTCTTGGACTCAGCCATGCATTAATTGAGCATATTGTATATGCGAGTTTGTTGGACTGATTGAATCTGTGGTGGTATATGCATATTTACACATATACACACCCAACACACTTATTTAGTGAAATACATAAAACAACGGCTCAAGCGCTATGTATACTGGAAACTGGAAAGAAAATCCTAAAAGGAAATATGCTTTACGACAAAGGGAGGTGTTTTACAACAAGAAATATTCAATATGGCGCACATAATTATGCAGTTTTGTATATACATATAAAATTGTAGAATTTAAAATAGCAAAGTTTGGTGTTATTTTTAATAAAATATATTATTATGAAAAAGTACCTCGTATTTGAGCCCAGCAAGGCGTAGCCAGGTTTCCACTTTAAGGCAGTATGGCGATAAAGATGGCAATAACGGCGTTCTAGAGAACTGGTAAAGGTAAATCATGTCCTTTTCGAAATTAGTTTTATGAACATTGCACTTGGGTGCAGGTTCCGATTTGGCCGTGACTACTGCATTTTCCGATTCTTTCTTTGTGTCCTCCACCGCGGCGTCCTGTTTCTCAGCGTTATCATCTTGGGCGTTACCAGTATCGGCGACATTCTCATTTTTCTCTGGTTCATTTTCGTTTTCAGTTGGGCCGGTAGTATCTTCTACCTTGTTTTCAGCAGGAGGATTATTAGCAACTTCGGCAGACATTTTTTAAAATAGTTGTTATTTATCACACTAGATCAAAAGTCTGTATAAATTTCCTGTTAGCTTTTAACACCAGATACACTTTGCACAACGTTAATAGAGACAAACGAGAAAATTAAGGCAAAGACAAACAAATACACGCATATATGTACACTCTTACAATGTACACACAAAATGCTCTGTATATCCTTATATACTTGCAATCACAAACAAAAACACAACAAAATCCAAGCAACAAAATCGAACTCTATCCCCTGAAATCAGAAATACAACTGACGAAATGTAACTGTACCGTTGTATATCGTACCAAGAACTGTATCGGTAACGCCGACAATATACGAATAAAGAATGTATTACCGACGCCGTTACAAAAATACAGGGTACAAGTTTGACAATTTGTCGTACACGCCGACTTATTCAATTAAAGCTGATATTACACGGCACGCATACCACAAATCGCTTAATAAATAGCATTCACATACGTATTCATTACTTCAACCATGCATGGAACAATAGGAAGGAAAAACTGCTTTGACAAACAATAATGAAGATTCTCCTCTAAAAATGTGTCATAATTATGATATAGGATGAAAAATGGTTTTGATAATTATTAGATTATTATTTATATTTAAATTTAATTTTTTCAGTCAGTGTATCCAAAATCTTAATTGCCATGTTAAAAGAGGAAACACATAAGAGAACTTCAAGATTGTAAAAGAATAACGGAGAACGGCGACTTTGATATTCCTTTATTAATTGACATTTTATACAAAGCCAGGCCTGAATCCTCGTATGTGTTTACCCCTTAATTTAATAAAAGATGCGGTTCAACAACACAATTCAAAATAAAAGGCTGATATACATTATGTAAAATTCATATTCGTACATCCATGAGAATTTAAAAAAAATCTGTATCAAGGACGGCTGCAGTACATTGAAGAATTGTAATTTTGCATGTTGTGCTTGAAGACATAAAGGATAAGAAAATGAATTGACATAATTTAGTTGTTGTTTTAATGGCGGGCATGATTTCCGATCACTAGAACATCCGATTCCAAAAAATCCAACAGCATTTGAAGGAGTACATGTCTTGCTTTGGTATGAACTACGATAATTAACATCGAACATAAATTAACAAAATGGCGGTCACCCCACAAACCATATTAGAAAATAAAAGCGGATTTACATATATATATTTACATATATCATCTAATCATGATTAAAAGCTAAATCAGGGTTTATTTTCTTAATCAGGCTGAATTTACTATGATTTATCATACAAATTTAAATCATCGTGCGGCAGAGTTTATTTTAAATTATGATACTACTGAGATGCAACGCATTTTTTGTACGAAAAATTACAACTCTCTTTTCATTTTCAATTTGCAAACAAATATTTTTGGCACAAATTAATAATTTTGTATGTATACTAACAAACATCAGCTGATCGGTATATATATCATGATTAAAAGTATGTGTAAACAATTAGGGTGTATTTTTGATTTCGAGTCGATTTAAAATCGTATATGTAAATGTACTTTAAGGAAGATTTACGACAGCTATGTATGTACAGAATAACGTGTTAAAATTTGAAACCGATTGGATTATTTGTTTGTGGGTTATCGTGCCCGCCATTCGTAAAAACACTGAAAACGCGTTTAAAGTTGGAGAAACACAATCGGCTATATCTTGAAAAGTTGTTGAGGTTTGAAATGTTAAAAGGACATTCGGGAATTAGTGTAGGCTCGAATTAAATAGAAAAGCAAAATTGAATTTTTGGAAACCGAGAATGGGTGGTTCCAAGGTTTATTCATAAGGTTAACCGGCAGGCGAATTCATGCCTTAGTCTTTTCTTGCTGTCAACTTTTTAATCTCGAAGTACAAAGCAGAACAGGATAAGAACTCCAAATATCTTTCAAAAAAGCGTATTGATAAGATTGTGCACGAATATTTTGTTTCGAATAAAAATATTTTTTGAATATTTATAGCCTGTTTCACTAAAGCGATTGAAAGTATTTTCGATCGAATGTAATCGCTCGAATCCTTCGATACGAGTTACGTCTACATTTGAAGAAGTACCAAATTGAATGTATGTATATTTTTACAAATTGAATGTATATTTTTACAATCAAAAGAGAAACAAAACAAAAAGCACAAATACAATCAAATATTTGAGTATACAAAATCCACCCAGTTGTTCAATAAATATAAATTGTCTGCAATTTTATAGTTATATACCTACTTACAAATCGACCTAGTTACTTTATACCCCAAAATGGTACAAAAAGTAGACAGTTTGATTCATTTGGCAATTGAAAATTTTTTATAGGAATATCATTCAATTTCAATACTTACTGGTAATTCGAAGAGAAATGAATCAACTATTTTATAGATTACCAATGGAAAATAAGAGAAATAATCAATGTTTTTCACTTCTATTGACATTAGCATTTCTTTTGTCTCTTGACCGCTTTGAACATCGGTTCTATACGAAATATTGAAGCATCTGAAACAGAAAATTACAAAATACAAATAATGATATGGGTATTTTTGGAGAATATTTACCTATTCAACACTTTTAATTATTTTCTCAATCTGTTGAAAATCTGTAGATAATAATGTTGAAATATCACGTACATATGTATTTATTGTGCTGCAATAATGTTCTTTAAAAAATATATTTTTTAAACATTTTGTTTTCACAATTCTGAAAATTATAAAAAGTCTGAAAATATCGTAATTCCATTTTCTTGTTTTGTATGTCGATTCTCTACTTTTTGCATTACCAGTAACTACAGAATTAGATATCTTTTTCAATATTTTGTGTGCCATTTTTGGGTATAAAGTAACTAGATTAAATAGTAACTAGCTATATAACTATATAATAGCAGGCAATTGCTATTCATTGAACAACTGGGAAATTGTCAAATACAAAAGTACCAGTATTTGTAAGTTATTTGTTCATTTTATTTTGTAAAATCATGAATGAAAAACATAAAAGATATATGTAAAACGGCTTTTACATTAGAACTTTTTTCCGGGTTAACCTACTCTATGAGGATTTATTTGGCATGTATATAATGGAATAGACAATTGAAACCCACTGGGTTAACGAAATCCGGTACAATATAAACGTACTATAAAATATGTATTAAAAATCGTAATTTTATTCAATAATTTCGCTGTATGAATTTTTAGAAAATTCACACAGAAAATTTACCTTATGCGTGCATTATCGACGATAGCGAGAGAAATAGTGTTTATTCTACAAACCCGAGAAAACAAGTTTAAGAAACGAGAGCGAGAATGTAAGTTTAACCAACGATAGCGAGATTGCAAGTGATGTTGCGATGGGCAAGAAAGCTACAGCAAGGCCGTGATCAACAACTGCGACCACAGCATTGGAAAGCGCCTCTCTGCATCCGAACTAAGCGAATGTGGCTTCCAGGAGATATAGTAGAAGAGAGCGAAACTCTCCCCTACAATATGAACTGGTTTCTTTGAATCTAAGCGAGAACTGATGCGAATTGAACAATTTTTCTTGGAAGTGACATAAGTTGAACTATTTACCGCAGAAACGGTGACAGTGATTGACTGAGTGGGCAATTTGTGTCGTTTTTGCAAATGTTCAGATATGAACGAAGCCTCTGAACCAGGGTCGATAAGCGCACGAACTGGATATGAAACTCCGGAATGAACGATGTTGACCATAGCAATACCCAACATGACATTTCGATTTTGGGAGGTATGGAACACCTGACTATTTACTACTCTAGGACTAATGCAATTAGAAGTTGATGCCACATTGCCATCTACTTGTGGAGGATTGACAACATTTGTCGAAGAAGCCAATGGCTTATGCAGAAGCAGTAGGCTTATGCACCAAGGTATGATGGCTAATTTTACAAATATTACATTTATTACTATTGGCACAATTCTTGACGGAATGTGCTACTGAGAGGCAATTTAAACAACAACCTTGTTTTTAGCTACTTCAAATCTTTTTTCTAACGAAAGAGTTCTAAATTTTGGACAAGAGCGTAATGAATGGGATTCATTTCGACAAAGAATGCATGAATTTGATCTATGTTTAACCGCAGAAGTAGCTCCATGGGCTTCGATGTTACTTTTCGAAATTGGACTAGAAGGAGAACATCTCATGTCTCGTAAAAAGTTAATGTTTGAATCCTTTCAGTGAGGAATTTGTTTGAATCTTCCCACGACGATAGCGAAGATTTGTCTTTTATACTCTGCCCCCACAAAGCTGCAGCTATTTTATGTAAACGGTGCTGATACCACGCTGTAGAATATTTAAATTAGAACTAGATTCTATAAAGGGAAGGTCGAATAAGAGCTTGAGATGTTTATGAACTAGAATACGTTTATTGTCGTACGTATCCTTTAACGACTGCCAAGCCATAGCGAAACTTTTATGGGTGAGTGGAAACTTAGACACGATTTCCCTAGCTTCATCTTTTGTTTTCTGAACTAAGTGACAAAGCCTCTCAATGTCACTTAGGCGAGAGTTATTAATAAATATAGCTGAGAAAATATTCCGTAATTGGGCCACGATAAGAAGTCTCCATGAAACTCATCAATCTCACACGGTGGTAAGTTGAGGTTATGAATGGTATTTCAAACTATTGGAGACAAACTCCAATTAGAAATGGAAACTTCTGCAGGATTTGGAAATTCAGGTTGAACAATATTTGATGAATTTGGGATATTCATATTCAAACTATTACGCTAACTATTAATTTCATTAACGAAACCTGGCTTTTCGATAGGAGGCCGATTAGATACACTACCGAGCATGCTAGCATTAACGACGACAGGAGTTTCAGAGGGAGATTTTACCAACAAGCAATCAATGAAACTTTGATTGGAAGATTGATTCTTCGAATCAGCAGAAGTAATTTGCTCTGAAGTTGTACCCTCTATTGCCAACAAATACACTTTTCGTAAGTGTCCATAACTTTTGAAGTTCCGAATTTCAAGGTTGAAAAT